GGGGTGATGTGCTAGATCCCTGGAATATTTTGCTTAACTACAAAACGGAATGTTGTGATGAAAACACATGGAATGTTTCATGTGAAGTTAAATATACGGTAAAGCAGGAATCTCAGCATAAGACAGAGAGCACTTGAGCTGCCCTGAAAGTTTCTGTGCATTTCAAGTCACTGTTAAGTCAGTTAATTTCTCAAGGTCTCTCCCGAAAAACACAAGACACTGCGATCCTTTGCGGGGCGGCCCCCAGCAGATCCAGGGCACGCACGGTGGGGGGCTCAGGGCCAGAGCCGGGGTCTGTGGCTTCCAGACAGCCGCTCAGGCTCGGGCGCCGGGGCCTCTGCGGCATCACCTGGGCCTGGAGCGCGGCAGGCGCTGGGGCCTGGAGGGCGCACACCTGGGGCGCAGGGCGGCGCACATAAGGGGGCGACTCCGCGAGAGGGCGGGCTCCTGCCCTGCAGCAGCGAGAGGGAACCCGACTTCGCGGGAACGCCAGCGAGAGCCCAGGAGAGTCCAGATGCCCCGGGGTCTGCCCGCCCTGCGGTCCCCCGCCTCACCCCGGATCCCGGCCCCTCCACCTCCGCCCTCCCGCCCTGCAGCCCCCACCTCACCTCACCCCGGATCCCGGCCCCTCCGCCCCCGGCCCGCCCCGAAAGTCTGGATTCGCAGGGGCCGGGAGCCTCTCCCCGGGGCCTCCTGCCCGCCGTGCCCCCGGGCGCCGAGCTGCGCTGTCGGGGAGAACGCGAAAGTCCCAAGCCAGCCCCCGGGAGCCCCAGGACCCTCTGCCCGTGTGCCCGGAGCCCCCGGAGCCGGCCCCGCAGCCGCCCCACGGCCGGCCCGGGCGGCAGGACCCGGCGCAGACGGGCACGCGGCCTCCCAAGGCCTCGGGCAGGAGCGAGGGGCGCGGCTCCTCTCTGCGGCCCCCGGACCCGGCGCCACGTGGGACGGTGCACCCGCCGGGGGCGCCGCGGACGGACTTAGCCCGGCTCAGAGCAGGGCTGGGGTGAGCGTCCCCCAAGCTCTGCCCGTGGGGAGGGGACGACCCTGGAGGCGCCGCGGGCCCCCAGAAGGCGGACGCGGCCCGGGAGCTGCCGGAGGAGGCCTGCGGGGAGGGAGGGAGCTGCCGGCGGGGACCCACCCGCTCCCCGGCGCACCCCACGGAGGGCGGGGGCTCGCGGCCACGCCAGAGGCTCGGGACGGGGCGGGGGCGCCTTCTCATGGCGCCGGGGACAGGGGGAGCGAGGGGCCCCACTGTGCCCCCGGAGAGGAGAGTCGGGGTGCCTTAAGCGGCCTGGGGCGGGGGGACGGTTTCCGCAGCAGGCGGGAGAGTCTCAAAAAGCCGCTCAGACCAGCCAAGGCGGGCGCCGAGGCCGGAGCCCTGCCAGTGGGGCGCGAGCCGCGGGGCTCCCGGAGCAGCTGCGCCTCCTCGCGGCACCTGTGGGCGAGGCCCGGGGCTGGAGCCTGAGGGTGAGGGCGGAGGAGCCTCCGGGGCGGCGGGGGACGTGGCCTGTGGGGGCGCCCGCGGGGAGCTGGTCTCCAGGGCCTGGCGCGGGGGCCGCCGGCCGCGGGGTGACGAGACCTGGAGCGGCGGGGACGGCAGTGAGCACCCCTGGGGCTGCGCGGTCACCCCAAGAGAGCTGAGTGTCTCAGACCTCAGAGTGCGCGCAGCTGGGGGTGGGGTTTGGGGTGTGGCTGGCGCTGAGCCCGCAGCCCCGAGAGGCCGGAGCCGGGCGCCCCTGCACGGGACCGCGGAGGCGCCCAGACTGAGCGGCGGTTCCCCTGCGGGGAGCGGGGCTGTGGGGCGGTCGGGAGCGACCATGGGCGGGGCCCGCACCCGGGCGCCTCGTTCCGCCCTCGGGGGCGCCCTGTCTGAAGGACGGTCTCCGCTGCGTCTGCGGTGATGTGGTGCTCGGTTGCGCCGCTCGGCTGTGCGGGCCACGGCCGCAGGGTCCCGTGGCCAAGAGAAGCCAGGTGGGGACCGTCCAGAGACAGCAAACGGCGGGGTGGAAGGAGGGCTACGGGAAGCTTGCTTCCTTTTGGGGTTTGCGCCCAACGCCTTTGTGGCAACCTGCAGCTTGGAAAACTGGGGGCCTTGGGAGTGTGGGCTTCGCCTCGGCGGCCTGCGGGTGAGCGCCTGGGGAAGGGGTGGGCGTGCTCGCGCGGGCACCTGAGGCTGGGGGCTGAGATAAGAAAGGCTGCAGTAGGGAGCAAGGAGCGAAGGGGAACAACCAGAGCATCGCCGCTGGAAATAAGGTCCCGGGAATGGGGGTGGAGGACCCCGGCCCCCCCCAGGGGGGGCGCCCCTACCGGCGGTTCTGAAGATGTCACTTGCGCCTGCGCAGTCGGGTGGGTGGCTCTGGCTCACCTGGGGCGGAGCCTGGGGCTTCTCAGCGCTTCTGATGCGGGTTGCCCAGGGCTTGCGCGCCGGCCTATTTTGAGATTTTGGCAGGGGGCGCGGTCATCGCTTGTCTGTGGCTACAGGGGGTGTCCTCCCTGAGTGACCTCGCCCCTCCGCCTAGGGCGTCTTGGGGGCACAGCCTGACCCTGGGGGTGTGAATGCGAGCGGAGGGTGCAGGTGTCCCTCTACCCCCCGGCTCGTGTGGCCAGGTCCAGGGGGTGCTAGGAGGGTTTGGGGAGTCCTGGAGATGCAGCAGCTGGACATCAGCGGGCGGGCCCCCCCTCTCTGCTTGGAGCCCCCCCTGGAGTCTCAGGTTCGTGGGCGGGTGGGGCCTTGAGCGGCGCTGCCTCTGCTGAGGGCAGTTGGGCAGAGGCTCTGGCCGGGCCGGCACCCGCTGCCCGCGCTGGGGGGAGCTGGGCCTCAGCGGCCCCCGCTCCATCCCGGGGGCAGGAGGACGCTGCCCTGAGCTCGGTCTCTCCATCGTGATCCCTATGGCGGCGCCGTCTCCTGCAGCTCAGGTCGTGCTCAGCTTCCCCGTGAGAACTGGGGACCATTTCAGGTCTTGACATGGGCCTCCGGGGGTGGGGGGCAGGGGGATGCAGATGGAGATCCCTAGCTCTGGCCAGCCCATGCAGCACGAGTCGCCCCCCCACCCCCCACGGGCCAGGAGCAGCCCACAGGGCGCAGCAGACCTCCCCGTCTCCCTACTGCCCTCTTCAGCCGTGGATTTCAGTCCATCTGCCAGTTCTGCTCCCCACTCTGTCTCTGGTGAATCCTCTCACTTCCTGCACCTCTGCCCTAGATCCCCGTTCTTGTTTGCATAAAAATAAATACATCTTTTAAAAATAGATAATTTCAAGAATTAGATTACTTACTCATAATTTCCAGTATTTTGAACTATGAACTATAATACCTGTGTTTACAGTAAGGGCAGAGACTATATAGGTGAAAATTTAGAATTACAAAATGAACTCCCATTAACTGGGTGAAGAATCCTAAGACCACACTATACCATAATCTTCCTCCCCAAGTAAGCAGGAATATGTGGCTGTCATAATTATTTCCCTTGCCCTTCATGACAGTTCATCACCTAAGTGTTTATCACTAAATGCATACCTAACACATGATTTTCCATTTTGTCTGGTATTTAAATTTTAAATCAATCCTATTATGTTCATTTTATATCTGGAATAATGTTATGCCTACAATCTATCTTTCCTCCTTCATTTAACATAATGCAAGTATTTTCTAACTCATTTAAAACTTCAGAATGAATTGCTACCTTTGTTCATGTACATAGTGTACTATATTTCGCTGTTTCCTAGAGTTTTTTTTTTTAATTTGCAAACCAGCAACTTTTTTTTTAAAAGATTTATTTATTTATTTATACATACATAGAAGCACTGGGTACAGTCAGAAGCGCGGGAGGGTGAGAGAATTCACCAGAGCCAGAGTGGGGAGCAGAGCTGGCAGAGGGACCGAAGTACACTGCTGAGGGGAGCAGCGGGCGGCAGGAGAGGTCTGCGCGCCATGTGGGAACCTCCTCCGGTGGCCGGGGAGCAGCCGGGGATTGAACCTGCGCTGCAGAGGCTGCGGGCAGCTTCGCAACCCAGCGCTCAACCGCTGCGCCACCGGGGAGGCCCCTATTTCCTAGAGTTTTGACTTAGATTGTTTCCAGTATTTGTAAGTATGAGAAAATGCTGGTTAGCATTTTTACAAAGTGTATGTGTGTCAAAGCGTTTCCTTAGGTCATGTCTCAAAACCTGAATTACTATTTCTTTTAATACAGACACACACATATATAATATCCCAAATGCTAACAGCTAAATTCAGAAGGGCGATACCAACTTGTTTTCTCCGAATGAGCGAGGGCCCCTATTTCAGCGGGTTCTTGCGCCCACGTCATTCTATCTGCCCATCTTCAGGGCTGTGACATGACACACTCCGGCTTCCTGCTCCCCCTCTGCGCGGGCCTCCCGCTGCCCTATGACTCTCCAGGCTGTGTCCCCGCCCTGGCCCGGCTGAGCCCCCCCTCCGCCGGGGCTCCTTCCCTCCCGCCAGTGTCTCCCCTCGGCCGCACCGCCCCTCCGCGCCACGAGGAGGCGCGCGCCGCTGCTCCGCCCCTGGTTCCCCCGCGAGCCTCTCCTTCCTCAGCCTTGCCCCGCCCCCTGCGTGTGGACGTCCCGTCCCTGCGCGCTGACGCGAGCGTGGTGGCTGGAGCAAAAGTGGCGGAGCCACTGACGCCAGGAGCGCCCACCCCGGCGGAGCGGGCCCGCGTGCCGAAGAAGGAGAAGCCCCGGGGGCAAAGCACAGGCGGGGGGAGCGCGCGCCGCCTGGTGGTGAGGCGGGGAAATGCGGACTCGCGGGGAATCATGAGGAGGCGCCGGGGCGGTCAAGGCCAGGGCGGGCGGAGCGGGACGCCCCTTCTCTCACTGTGGGGGGGTGGGGCACCGGGATTCGGGGGCCCTCTGTGGCTGCGGGTCAGTGTTCCCCAGCGTGTCTTTAATGCACATGGACACGATCTGCTGTTTTAATGGCTGCGAAAATTTTAGGTTAATAGCGTTTTCAGAGATGTGGGCTCTTCGCCTCCATTTCCGTTTGATTTTCTAAACTTCAGCCGCAGCAGGACGGGCGGGGGCGCCCCCGTGAGCACCCCGGGGCTTTCCCGCTTGCCCCTGGCCCTGGAGCGCACCCCCCTGCACCCGCACCTGCAGCCCTGTCCCCTCCCCGAAGCCCCGCCCCAGCCCCTGCAGCCCCACCCCTGCACCCCCTGCCCCTGCTGCCCCTGCAGCCCCGCCCCTGCCCCCGCCCCGCCCTGCCCCGCCCCAACACTGGCTCCTCCCTCCCCAGTAGCGGGGCTCGCCTTGGCACTTGCTTCTCCGGACTTGGGGTGAAGTCCTGGCCTGTGAGAACCCGGTTTCTTCAGGAACCACCCCAGAGCAAGGGAAAGGTAAGGTCATCTCCCTGCCCATGGCTGACTGCAGAGCAGTGAGTCAGGGGACCCAGGGCTGGGCGGGCTGGCTGTGGAGAGCTCTGCGCGGGTCATTTTGGGTCCTGGAGGAACATGGGGGTCAGGACATACCTGAGTGTGACCCTGTGGGTGCCCATTGCCCCTGAATGAAAGCGCATGCCCCGTGTTTGCTCCCGGCTCCTCCCTGCTGCACTGATCAACCCCCGGAATGGGTTTTCTGGGCTCTCCGTTCTGTTCCATAGTTGTGTGTGTGTTTTATTTCTGTGGACTTAGAATATAATTTGGAGAATGTATTGTAAACTTTTCTGGGGCTGACATCCCCCTCCCCATGCCAGGTCTAGCAGGCAGGAGGGAAGAGTCGAGTCCCAGTCTCCCGGGGTGCAGGTTCTGACCCAGTGGGTTGTGTGGTGCCTGGGGCTCTGCATTTCTCATGGGGTCTGAGATGCTGCCTGGGCCTGGGCCCACGTATGGGGGCTGAGGCATCACTACCTGTTGTGCAGGTGATGTGGCCATTCAGGGCCTTGAAGGGGGATTTTGTTAGGGGGAAAGGATGTCCTGCGCTAATCCCATACAGGCTTTGTGGACTCCACCCCCACTCCAGACCAAAGCCATCAGGACATTGGGAAAGACAAATCCCACCAAAGGGATCACCACCAAAGGGAAGGTGGCTGGGACCTGAGGGTGGAGTTAAGCAGCCAGGTTGGGTATAAAAACTAAACACGTGGGCCTTGGGGCTCTCGCTTGCTATCGCTGGCCTCCTGGCTTCACGGCTCCTGGCTTGCGGCCAGTTCTCAGAGTGCCATTTGGGATTCCTGATCGGCGGATCGGGAAGGACACATTTAAAACTTTTGTCTCCCACTTTTCTCCCTGAGCTGTACATTTCCTTATTTCCCCTTCCCTTGAAAATAAACCTTTTATTAACCTTTCGTGTGTGCCTGCAGTAGAGCATTGATAATGCCTTTAAAGTGCGCGAGTGAGGACCCACAGTCAGGCACCCCATTTTGTATCGGGGCTGCCCTATAACAGTTTGACCCTGGAAACTGCCTCATGAGGCGATTTCTGAATAACCCTTGAATAGAATCCAGACTTTCCTGAGCCTTGAGTGACCAGGAGCCACAGGACCTGCCATACTCTGGCTACAAGTCTTTGGTTTTCTAAAATGGGTTATTATTGACTGATTCAGTGTATTGAAATCAGTGGCCCTGGGCATCACTGAAGGACCAACCTGAGAAACCTGCAGCTGTGACAGCTGGGCGCCATCACCAATCGGGGTGGAAAGTTTCTTCATGGGGAGTATGTGAGACGCTGAAGGGCCCTTTTCTAAGCTCTTGAGATCTTTTCGCTATAGATAGTGCTGAGAGGATTCCTCCTATTTTGGGGATTGTGTGAACCACAGTGACTCATGTGGGAACTGGACATTTTGGAGATAATCCACTTTATCTTTCTTTTTTAAAGCTTTTATTTTTTTCATAGAAGAACTGGTGTGCAGGCCAGAGGTGTGGGATGGTGAGATGATTCACCAGAGACACAGCAGGGAGTAAAACAGGCAGATCTACTGAGATACACTGCTGAGGGGAGCATCAGGCGAGATAGGAGAGGTCTGCTGCACTATGTGGGTAGCTCCCTGGCCAGGATTGAACTCAGACCATTTTGGTGACAGCACTGAGATTTAACCACTAAGCCACTTGGGGGTGGGGGAAGGCTGCACTTTAACTTTAATGTGTTAAACTGATGTTACCTCCTTCCTTGCCAATCCCTCTGTTATGCTCGCTTTGGAAAGAAGTTGAATTTCTCTGGAGAGGAGAAAGGAATCAGCATTTATTGAGCACCTGCTGGAGCAACAAGTTCATCACTTTAGGTACGTGATCTGCATTAATGGACGCTGTAGAGATATTATTCCTACCCTGTCGTCATGGACCCTGAGGTCCAAAAGGGATCAGTGACTTCTCTGAGATCCAAAAATAAGCACAAGGGCCAGATATATTTGGACTCCCAAATCTTTGTATTTTGTACTGAACCAGAGGTTTTAAAATGAAGGTAAATTGTAAACCTCTTGGAGGCCAGGGGGAGGGAAGGCGTGTGGGCATCCCCACCCATCCTCAGAACAGGTCCTTGGGTGCTGGGCATCCTCCTCCATGAGGAAGGAGCTTCGGCCTAAAACAAGACAGAACAAAACTTTCACGTTTCATTGTACCACGTGAAGATTCTGCCATTAACATTGAACGTGAATGACTTCATAGTTTTAGAATGGCTCTAATCCCAAACAGGATTGCTACTTGCAAGAGACCGCAGTGAAAAATAGCCTTTTTCTAATGATTCCCACGAAGCAGGCTTAATTGCTGCACCTACCAGAGAAAATTCCCAGAGATCTAGACAATTGGTGAGGAGGGGATGCCTCGGCAGTGCCTGCAGCATTGTTCAGGATGAGACCCCCTTTAGGAACATTTATTTATTTATATTGCCTTAGGGTCTACCCCTTCCTTAAAGACCATCTCTTTTCTTCTTCTGTTTTTTTTTTTAAAAAGATAGATTTATTTATTTATTTATACAAGAATGGGGTATAGGCCAGAAGCGGGGGAGGGTGAGAGGAGTCACCAGAGACAGAGCGGGGAGCAGAACAGGCAGATTGACTGAAATACACTGATGAGGGGAGCAGTGAGGGAGACAGGAGAGGTCTGCTGTGCCATATGGGCATCTCTGTGGCCGGTGGGGATCGAACCGGCACTGCAGAGGCTGCGGACAGCTTCACAGCGCCGTGCTCCACCACCCATGCCACCAGGGAGGCCCTTCTCTTCTTTTCTTACATAGTTGTTCATTTTTGTCTAGTTATTGGTTTCTCCCCTCAGGGGTGGTCCCCATAGTTCTCCCACCACCATAGCGCCCATGTGCTCTTCCCTCCCCTCTGTTCACCACCCTCCTTCCCCCTCCCTGCTAAATGCCTCAGGTCTTGGCCAGCCTGCTAGGGTTGTCTTTTTCTTTATCTTTTGTTGTTTCTCTATATTTCACATGTAAGTGAAACCATCTGATATTTACCTTTCTCCTGCCTTATTGTGGCTAGCCTCATCCCTTCCAGCTCCATCCATATCACCACAAGTGGCATGAATTTGTCTTTTTTGATTGCAGAGTAATACTCCCTGGTGTAATTATACCACAACATTTTGATCCGTTCATCTGTCTTCTGGCATTTGAGTTGTTTCCATGTCATGGCTATTGTAAATAGTGCTGCAATAAGCACAGGAGTTCAGGTTTCCTGTTTGTTTGTTTGTTTTTTTTTTAATATTTTTTGTATTTTGTTTTTGTTTTTTGTCCCTTAGGTAGATTCCTAGGAGTGGAATGCTGGATCATATGTAGATCTGTTTTCAGTGTTCTGTGGAACCTCCACACAGCTGCCCATAGTGGCTGGACCAGTTTGCACTCCCACCAGCGGTGTCAGAGGCTCCTTTCTCTCCGCTGCTTCTCCAGCATTTGTTGTTCCCAGTTTTTCTTTTTTAACGTGGAGCATTCTCACTGGAGTGAGGTGGTCGCTCATTGTGGTTTTGATTTGCATTTCCCTGATACTAGTGATGGTGAATGTTTTTTCTATGCCTGTTGGCCATTTGTATTTCTTCTTTGGAGAAGTGTCTTTCTACCTCTGCCCATTTTTTGGACTGGGTTGCTTGTTTTTGTTGAGTCGTGTAAGCTCTTTGTAGATCTTTGATATCAGTCCCTTAGCTGTCATGCGGTGTGCTGATATTTCCCCCCATTCGGCAGGTGTCTCTGTGTTGACCGCCTGTGGCTGTAGCCCCAACTGTCTACATTCTCTCTGGTTTCCTTGCTTCTGGAGAAGAAGCCTCAAAGACGTTTCTGAGGATCATGTCATTGAGTGTTGGCCTGTGTTCACTTCTGTATATTCTGTGGGGCCAGGTTTCACATGAAGTCTTTCATCCACTTGACTTGGTTTGTGTATGGTGTGAGGTAGTGGTCTAGTTTCATTCTTTTGCATGTTGCAGTCCAGGTTCCCCCGCACCATTTATGGAAGAGGCTATTCTTGTTCCAATGTATATTCTTTGCTCCTGTGTCATTGGTTAGTTCGCCATTGGTCTCTGTGTCTGTTTTTGTTCCAATACTGTTTTCATTATATATCTTTGTAGTATTCTTTGATGTCTCAGAGTGTAATACCTCGTGGGTCTGCTGCTCCTAATGTTACAGGGCAGGGAGAGGGGCAGCCCAGAACCCCACAAACCTGCGTATTCTATATAGGGTTCTGCCATCCGCCACATTAACACAAAAATGAGACTTTAATGGGAAGGAACTTTAATAAAATTAGGAAACAATACAGGAAAGGCAAAGAATCTAAAAGTTTCTAAATCAAGTACCCAAAGTTACCGGTCCCCTCGTGGGTAAAACTCCATCCAAATGGGATTGGCCCAGAGCAAGGCCCCAAAGCATGCCACAAGTCTAAAGCTTCTTCCAGTGGGGATCCATAGAAAAGGGTCAGAAACAACCAGAACCACTGATACCATCAAGCCTAAACTGAAGCCTTAAACAGGAGAAAAACAACTCAGCTCCACCCAAAACAATTTTGTTCCACCTAAACCTGTCCCCCCTGCCAACCCAATTTTCCTGCCTAACCTCTCCTCACCCTATAAAAGGGACATCTCTCCTCACAACGGGTGTGGCTTCACGGACCCCCACGTTAGGTCTGTGAGGTCTGCCCGGGGCGCAATAAATTTTTCCTTTCTTTGAGAAATTTAGCCTGGCTCTCCTTTTCTTTACCGCGCCGAACCTTTCACACCCCATGGCAGGAAGGACCCCGTTCGTCTAACTCAACCACGGGCTAGCTAGAACACATCTCGGCACATACCAGAGGTTTCATGAGCCCATTGTTGTTTTGAAGGGTTGAGTGGATGAAAGATGGTCTTTAATACAATCAATTATTCCGTTTTATTTTCTTAAAGATTTATTTATCTATGGTTCTGGTGTCAGGGTCATCTTGTCTTTTTCTATGTGGGCTTCCTCATTCCTGGCCCCTGCATCGACCTTTCAGGGGGTAAATTCTAGAAGCTTCTTTAGAGGAGCTGGAATGTCAAAGCCCAGTGGCCACAGCTCCATGAGAACATAGAAAACCAGGGAAGAGCCTGATCGCAGCAGCTCAAATCACAGCCTCAGAGCGTCCTTCCCCTGCGGGATGTGAAAATCATCCTCTTTGGGGAGAAGGCTCAGCCATCCCAGCTGTCCCCTGCAATATATAGCACATAGTAGGCTGGTTATAAAAGTGTCTTGAGCGATGGGGACAGTTGTGACCAGATCTTTGAGAACAAACTTGTCCATTCTTTCATTCATTCATTCAACAACCCAAGAGTGGGCAGGTTTTATGCCAGGGGCTCACAAAAAGTGGCTTATCTAAAGCGATACTGGAAACAGCAAACCGCTTATAATTTACACAGTGGATTATATTTAAAAGCATAGCTTCTTGTCATTTAAAAAAAATGTCACCCACAGCTCACTTTTCAAGTGTTTATAATTCCAATTAGTGTGTAACAGCCATTCTCTGTTTGTGTGCATTTCTGTAATATCCTTCTTGTTACTCCACCTCACAACATAAAAGCCAGGGCCTGACAATTACATCCCCCTACCACCCCACATATACCTCCATGTCACCCCGCATCACCCCTGCTTCCCCCAGCCCGGGAGCCAGCTGGGGGGAGGGAGGGAGGTCCCTGCAGACTGTTCCAAGCAGCTCTCGGCCATTTTGTCAACGGAACCGACGTGCCCGGAACAGCCGTTTCAAGCAAAAGCGGCTGTTTCTCGCGGATCCGCGAGGCCGGGTGCCCCTCCGCCAACGTGACCCGCGACCCTCGATGGGCCCAGCCTTGGCCGAGTTTTCTTGGTCGCCTGGGGATGTTTTTCATGGCAGGTGAAAAAACCTGCTCGCGCATGCGCACCGCCCCCAACACCCCAGTGCCCCCTCCCCTCCCCTTCCCCTTCCCTCCCCTCCTTTCTCAGCTTGCTGATCCTGGAGCTCGTGACACCCCTAGGCGTCTGTGGGCGCCCCCGGAGGGGACTCCAGGAGAGCAGGGGGCCGCATCTCCGGCACCTGGAAGTGCCGGCCGCGGGGGCGCGGCGAGCGTTTGCCGAATGACTACATGTTGCTCCGTCCTCAGGTTTTGACCCGGCCCTGGGGCCAGGGAGGCGGCCCGGGCGCCCGCCTTGCAGAGCCTCGGGCCCGCCCACGCGCGCTGCTGGAGCCCGAGCGCCCAGACGCCGCCGCCCCGCGACGGCAGGGCCCGGAGAAGCTGGGCGCCCCGCCCGGGACTGGGGGGCCGTGGAGCGGCGGCCCGGGCGACGAAGGTGAGGAGGCCGCGGGGAGTGAAGAGGGCGGCGTCCCCCCACGGTCCAGTGCGCGAACATTGTGGGGGCTGTCCGGGCGGCCTCGCTGTGGAGGGAGTCACCCCAGACCCAGTGGCTTCAAGCAGCGCCCTGCTCCTGCGTCTGCCGGCCTTGGGGGTGTTAGGGGGAAATGATGTCCTGAGCTAATCCCATACAGGCTTTGTGGACTCCACCCCCACTCCAGACCAAAGCCATCAGGACATTGGGAAAGACAAATCCCATCACCACCAAAGGGAGGGTGGCTGGGACCTGAGGGTGGAGTTGGGCAGCCAGGTTGGGTATAAAAACCAAACACGTGGGCCTTGGGCTCTCTCTGGCTCGCGGCTCGCCTCCTGGCTTCACCGCTCCTGGCTGGCGGCCAACTCTGAGAGCGCCATTTTGGGATTCCTGATCGGCGGATCGGTAGGACTCATTTAAAACTTTGTCTCCCACTTTTCTCCCTGAGCTGTACATTTCCTCGTTTCCCCTTCCCTTGTAAATAAACCTTTTATTAACCTTTCACGTGTGCCTGCAGTAGAGCATTGATAACAACCTTTAAGCGCGCAGGTGAGGACCCACAGTCAGGCACCCCGTTTTGTATCGGGGTTGCTCTACAACGGGGGATGGGTCCCGGGCCCTCGTGCTACCGGGCGCACGGCGGGGTTCCCGGCACCCCTGGCAGGTCCCGGCCGAGCTCACCTGCGGCTCCAGCCAGGAGCGGCCCCCCCACACCCCGCGCCCTCCAGGCGGCCGGCCTGATGGGCCCACGGGGCTGCGCTCGCTGCTGCCTCGTGGGCGGGGCCCGAGGGGCGCTGGAGCCAGGAGCCAGGGCGGGAGCCGGTCCAGGCCGCGGCACGGAGGACTGGGTCGGAGGGGGGGGCGGGGGGGGCGGGGGGCGGGGGGGGGGGGGGGGGGCCGCCGGGCGTCCGCGGGCAGCGAGGTGCAGGCCGAGTCCCGGACCCACCCACACCGCGGAGTCCTGAGCAGACGGCGGGGTGGGGGGGGGCGCGGAGGGGCGGGGTCTGCGGCCGCCCGAGGTCGTGGTTTGCGCTGGGCACCCGGGGCGTCTGAGGGAGGAACGGGCTCCCCTGTTTCAGACTCTGGCTGGGCGGCCCGCTGGGCCCACTGCAGCCTCCCCGAAACTTGGGCGATGTCTGGGGAGTTTGGGGGTTTTGCGGGCGGGGGTGCCCGCGTCTCTGCGGGACGCTGCTGCCCTCTGGCGGTCGGGGGCGGCAGAGCGCGGGCGTCCTCGTGGGCTGCGGCTCGGGCTCCAGAGGGAGGCGGGTAAGTGAACCCGAGAAGCAGGGTCCCCCCCCCATCTGCTGATGGATGTGCTGGCTGAGGCCGCTAGCGGGGCGCCGACCCCCACGAGGGCAGCGCCATTTGCGCCGCGCGGGGCCCATCAGCCGCGGGGGCGGCGGGGTCCATCAGGCGGGGCGTGAGCGTGGGGTGTCCCCATGGCCTGACCCTGTCCCGCGCAGGCCTGCGTGGTCACAGGCTCTGGCTGTGGGGCGTCTCCGGGAGCTGGGAGGCCCCCGCATCGCCGAGGTGTCCTGAGGCCTCCTTCTGCCCGTGGGTGTGCTGGGGGCGCGGTGCGGCAGGGAGGGGCTGTCCCCGGAGGTGAGGGGCATACACGAGGGCACCCAGGTCCCCCGCGCTCCTCCCAGCCTGCTCTGGACGCCGCGTTCCCCCAGGCCCGGAGCTCCGTGGAGGAAGACCCAGGCCCTGTCCTGAGGACTCCCAGGTAAGGTGGCTCCCTCCTCTCTGCCCAGGGCTGGTCCAGGAGGCCCCCATGGGACGGGACGCCGGCTCCGGTCACCCGTGACTGATGCAGCGGCCTCTTCCGTCCCCGCAGCCCTCACGCACGAGGGCACCGCACAGTAGCCCCCCAACCCCCCAGCCCATCATTTCTGCACCCGGCCATCCCTCGCCCATCACCACTACCCAGCTGTCCACTTCCCCGTCCCCTCACCCCAACCTCGTGCTCCCCGCGCCCCCCCCCCCAGTGTGGATGCAGTTTGTTCTTCCTCAGACGCCCACTCAAGGGCTCTCAGCCCGCCCACTGCCCGCTCACCAACTCACCCGGGCACCCTTGCTGACTGGTGAGGCGCTGCCAAGCCCGACCTCAAGACTGTCTTGGGGCCACAAGCCCTGGGCACGAGGCAGGGACGGGCTGCCCTCAGGCGTGTGTCCACCCCGTGCACCTCAGCCCTGTTTGCTGGCCCAGAGCAGGTGTTCCTTGCCTCTTGCTGGACCAGACTTTCATGGTTCAAGTCAGAAAGGGACTTGGGGGCAGGGAAAGGCCAGCTCCGGGGGTGCAAACGTAGATGACTCCAGGGGGCAGCTCCAGGCCATAGGCTTGTTTTGGGGGGGGGAGTGCAGGCAGAAGTGTGGGTGCTGCGGGTTGGAGGGGGGAGGGTGTGGGGGGCTGATGGGTGTGGGTCTCCTTGGCGCTGAAAATATGGCCTTTGCTGCAGGAGGGCCGCGGGGATGGGGCGAGGAGGGTTGTCCTGGCTGCTGCTTCCAAAGGCCCCTCGCTGCCTCCTGTGCATGCCGGGGCCCAGGGGAGCAGAAGGGGGCTGAGGTGGCTAGGGTGAGGAGCGAGGGCTGGAGGAGGTGGAGGGAGAGGGCTGGGGCTATTACCTGAGCTCTGAGGGATGAGCAGCCCCAGCACACCCCACCCCGCACAGGAGGGTGCGGCAGGGGCAGTGCTGGCCCTGTGAGGTTGGGTCACCAGTTCCGTCCACCAGCCCAAGGTGCAGCCACCCCCTGCAGGCAGCCTCCTTCCAAGAAATGGGGGGGGGGGGGAAATCTGTGGCCATCCCAGGCAGGGTGGGTTCTTTGAGGGTTCAAACAGCTGGAGACTCGGAGCCCATTGTCACTTTATCTGTCACCCAGTCGTGTCATTCTACAGCTGAAATCGCAACAGCTAGGCACGTGCCAGGCCGAGCCATCCCTGGGCCTAAAACCCTCCTCCTGCAAGCGCCCCCCTTCCCCCCCATTGTCACTCCCTCTTGTGTCTCAGGGCTTCCTGGAGTTGCCCAGAGCGCCCCAGCAGATGACCATCATTCTGGTGGTGTGTGTGCTCTCCGTTTCTGGTGTTGACCGGGATGCCCATGGTACTGTTCCCCTCACCACAGTGCTGCCGCCACCGAGGGTTCTGGGCTAGCAGCAGGAGAGGCCACTGAGGCTGACCAAGCACCCTCCCAATATCCATCGGGACATTTGTTGCATTTAACCTTTTGGTGAGGCTTTGTGCCTGTGTCCCTGAATGAAGCCCCCGTCTGATGCAAATGTTTTTGATTGGGGGAGGGGGGCAGAGATTCGCCAGTGCCCCCTGCTGGAGGTGCCGCCTGACCTCGCAGAAGGTGGATGGAGGTAGCTCTGGGGGTGGACAGTGCTAGTAGCTTCCTGACCTGTGTCCTTGGGGTATAGGATACGTCCCCAGATACTGAACCCCATCATGATAGTTTCCGGAGGAGTCTCGGTGTTTGTTGAGTTTGGTGTCAGGGCTGAGGACTCACTCACCCTTTTATCAGCTTGTAAAGAATTGGTTCATTTGTAAGCGTTTGACCAGTTTACTCTTGCTTTTTCCAAAGAAACAGCATCAGGATGGATTTATATCCATTTCTCTTCAGCTTTGTGATGTGTTTCCCATTAGGTCTTGGGTTTGAAAAAATTTTCTACTCCTCCTGTCAATGTTGAAGTTGAGTCCTTTGTGTTCTCTGACTACAAATTATCCAGTGGTAGAACCAGCCTTAAGTTGGTTAAGTTGGATGACCCTTTTTTATGTCACACTGTCTTGTAACTCGCAGTGACTGGACTTAAAAATCATTTTCTTGATTTCCGGCTCTGTGAACGCACTGTGGCCTCTAAGCTGCTTTCCCATGCTTTCTGGAAGCCTTGGCTGCAACCTGCCTACTTCACGACCAGTGTGTGTGTGTGTCTTGTGGACATTTTAGGCTGATTTTCCACTTGTAGAATTCCAAATTCAGCTTATTACAGTGTGTGTGCCTATTTTTTGGCCCGCCCCTATCCGGACCCCATGAGGGTTATGGGAAAACCTGCGAGAATGAGTATTTTTCTAATCATGCGAGAAAACCCCAGATAAATGGTAAAACAGAGTCCCTTCATGCCGCTTGACCAGGATTCCAAAGCCTTTTCCCGGTTTGCCGGAAGAGCACATGCAAATCTGAAATGGGTTTTCTCCCCCTGGCTCTCCTGGGGAGTGCACCCCAACAAGAAGAGGCATCTAAAGGGAAAGGACAGAAATCTGAATGGGGGCGCTGTATTCCTGTCCCGTCCCCGTAGTGCCATCTGCTGGCGAGTGAGAACGGGCCATCTGGTCGACCCGGCTAAGCGGATGCGGTCTGGTCCTCGCCTTGTGGACTGGGGTGGTATCGTGGGGAAATCGAGGCCAGAATCGCGAGCTGGACCAGAAGTGGCCACGCCAAGAGCGGCTCCCGGCAGCAAAATAAAGCGGCGAGAGGAGCGAGTGTCGCCGCCTTGTGGACAGGGGTGGAATCGTGGGAAAATCGTGGCCACAAATGGCAGCCTCCGGGAGGTGGCTGCG